ACTCTGGAGAGGGTCTGGAGGGAGTAGGCTGGTGAGGGCTTAGCAACCCAGACCGCTTGGGAACAGCCAAAGGAAGTGTGGGTGGTCAGCTGAGAGTGAGGTGTCTACCAGGAAGTGGGGGCCATCTGAGGTCCTCAAGGCGTGGACAGGTCTAGGTGGCTGCAGAGTATAAATGCAGGCGTGGGAAAGACCCAGAGAACTGCCCAGAACCAAGTTGCTTCTGATTGGAGAGCTGGGTTTGATGCAGAATCTGAGTGGTCGACAATTTTCATACAGAGACGGAGGTGCAGCTGGGTATCCCAATGCCACTGTTTCTAACAGTCTGTCACCTGTCTGACTGGTGCCCAGTGTCTGAGTCTTTCCTCTGGGGCAGTTGGCTTCAAGAAGGCTCTTCCTGTCCCTGCTGGGGGCTAAGCCGAGGCTCAGATGGTGTGGGGAGAAGGCAGTCTTTGGAGGAGGGGCTGCAGTGCCCTGTCAGTGGGACCCAGCTGCCTGGGATCCCCACTGTCCACGGGCTCTCAGAGGGTTCTTCCTAAGCACATGAGACCAGTGACCCAGAAGGATGTGCCACTCAGAGGAAGTGCTGCTGGGAACCAAGATCAACAGTAATTAATATAAGTGGGAGAAGTCCAGTCAGAGGCTGAATGGGGCTTTTTGATATTCACAGGGATGAATATCTGCATTTTATTACCTACTGCTGACTCAATGGCCTAAAGCAAACTCCCCCAACCTGATAATCTTACTGTTTACCAAACATCACCTTTGATATGTCTGTTTGCATTCCTAAAAGGCAATTGTGTATTCTAGTAAATAAAAGCAGATGGGAATGGAGACTCAGTGGAACTTGGTCCCTTGTACCAAGATCACACTGGCTTCCCCCATAATTTCCAAATTTATATTTCTTGTCTTGTGTGGTTAATTTGCGCGTCAGCTCTTTCTCCAAGTCTTTGAACCCGAGGCCACGCAGGCTGTGGCTTCACAGAGTGCTGGAGAAGACAGAGTGAGGTGATGCAGGCTCAGGGAGGGACGCAGACACAGAGCTGTGCCAGCCTCAGGCCAGCCCATGCAGCCACAGTGAGGGGGTGGCCACTGCAGTATTAATGGTGAAATTAGACCTTGGTCCTGGAGTTCGGCTAGGAAAGAAGTCAGAGTCAAAAACTGATTATAAGAGAAAGTTTACTTAGAAGTCACAAAGGTAGAGGAAGTGAGCCAGGTGGGCTGTGTGGACTCAGGAAACTGCATTACAGAGGCAGAAGGGGGGCCTTGGAACTTAGGAGAGAGAAAGGCAAAGTGCGTGCCTTGAGGGAAAGAAGGTGGAGGAGAGAGAGAGAGAGAGAGAGAACCTGCTCTGGGGAGGGAGGCACAGGGTGCCCTAGAGAGTGCTGGGTCCTTCACCTCAGGGTTTGTACCTGGAGGTGTCAGGGGAGGATCTCAATAGAATATTCATCAGCTTTCCAGGTGTGTCCTTTCAAGGCCCTGGTCTCCACTGATTTTGGTTGGTGCTCGGGTAGCCAGTCATTAGCCATTGCAGCTGGTCCTGAGGCCTCATCTAGTTTTGCTGCTTTTCTGGGGCCTCGCTGTTATCTCTAGTTTGATCAAAACTCTTGTCTCTGTGGTCAACAAACCCCAGGCTTTGTTCTTAAGATTATTTTATTCAGGTCAGAACCTCAATGTCCTGGGGGGTCGGGGCTGGGGGGGGGACTTAGTGCTTAAGGGAGTGGTTGTTAGAGGGCTCGTATGGGAGTCCTATGAGGCTATTCTCCAGCCCCCTGTTCCTTTTCTGAGGGGGTATAAACCATGTGACTAGTGCTATGGAAGGGGAGGAAAGGTCACCCTGAGGCCAGGCTCTAGCCTAAAACACTTGTTTTCCCAGTTTTGCCCGTTGCTCGCACCCAGGGCTTTCTGCGTGGTGACCTGGACCTGGCCTCTCATTCCTACTCTGCTCCCGTCTGTCTAACTGCTTGTGTCACAGGGACCCACTTTGCAGCTGCCCCTCCTCCCAGGGAGGGGGCGGTGGAATGCGGAGTCCAGCTAACTTCAGGAAACTGCTGCCCACATCCCCAAAGTGACCATCCGATAACGACACAGAAAGTCAGACGACACGAAAACCCACACATGGAGAGATGTGTCAGCCTCCCCATGTCGTGCAGAGTCTAGACGGCACCCTGTCCCCTGGGAGCCTGGGTGCCCTTGGGAAAGCACTGGCCGTGGAGAGATGCCCTCTGGCACACTCCTCTTATGGAGGGCGCCACTGAAACCAGACACGAACAGGTCCAGGCTGCCTGTCACTACTTGAGCCAATTAAGCAGAGCCAGGGTTAAACCATATGTGAGTGTTTGTTCCAATGCTGCCGGCAGTGTGGGAGAGTGGCAGGTCATCCATGGAAATCTGCTCCAGCACCTCCTACTAGCCGGCTGGGTACATAGGGATGAGGAAGAGAGGCTGCATGCAAGGGGAAGGAGGGTGGTGGAATGGCTGCGGGGTCTGTGGTCTGTGTCTCCTTCCAGGATGTTAAAGTCCGATAATAAGGTAGTTAATTGTCAATGGTGTTAAAACCCAGCTCAGCCTGTTCCTGGGACCCTGGGACCAGAGAATGGTTAGCATTCCTGAGGCAAACTCCCGGAGGGGGTCAGGGTCCAGTCACAGCAACCAAATCAAAGTCCGTCCTGTCCTCTGCCTATTCTCAAAATTCATTTTCTTTTCTGAGCAATGGACCCATCGGGGTCCCAAGGTGTCTCTTATATTTTACCAGGTCTGCTTTTCTTCTTACAGCACATCCTCCAATTTCCCAGGGTTGGTAAGAAAACCTCCTACCTATGGTTAGTCAGGTGAAAATTATTAAACAACCGTGTTCCTCTTCTTCTTGCGGGCCCTTCCCCTCTCACCACTGCGGGCTCTCAGGGCTCTGCCACTCACAGTGCCACCCGAAGTGCCTGACACTCGACCCGGCTCCAGGTCTGGGAGGACAGCTGTTCCTCAAAGCATCCCCCCGGGCACCTGCTGGGTATCGCCAGCTGGCAGCCATCACCTCTCACAGAAATTCATGGAGGAAGCTCCCTCTCCCCTCTGCTCTCCTCCAGGTGGTCCTCGAGTGGAGGGCCCAGGAGTCATGGCCCCTTCCCTCCTACAGGCAGCCTGGCCAGGTTCTCACTGTCACCCTCAGCCAGCCCCAGCCCTACCCCTCACTCAGGCCTGGATCCCCGGAGGGCTGCAGCATGGGGTGTGGCAAGGGTGAGGCCACCCCTGCACTAGGATACACCCCTGCACTGGGGGGCACACAGGGGTTTCCTGAGAGTTCTCTTCCCAGCCGCACCTGGAAGGGGCGAGAGAGGCAGGATGGGCAGAGGGTGTTTCTGAGCTGGGTGACCTGTGCTGACCACTCTGAGGCCGATGGATACATGACCTCTGAGAGTCATTTGCTAAAGGCAGTTCCAGAGGGGCCTTGGGCCGTAGCCCGGCAGGCAGTGTGCACTTCTGTCCTGAAGAGGGTCCCCAGGCAGCACCCCACAGCTTCCACTACACCTGCCCATCTTGACAGTACAGGTGCCCCATGTTGCAGCTGTGGGCCTGTCCCCCCTCCATAGGCCTTTGAGACTCGAGGCCCTGGCGACAGGGAATGCTGGCCTAGGGTCTCTGGGTTCTCCTGCATGTGGCTGGCTTGCTGCTAGCCCCAAACCACACGGCCTTCCTGTACGGGACTCCCCAGCCCGTGTCAGTCACAGGGCTACTCGGGGGGAAGGAGGAGCATGGCCCAGCCAAAGTGGGCCTGCATGTGAGGCTGGAGGCCCTGCTGCAGAGCTGAGGCCAGGAAGGAAGGGTGTGCAAGGTGTCATGCACCGCAGGCAGGGGTATTGGGGGACGTGTAGGCCAGGAGGGAGGCTCTGGGAGGTACCGCCTACCTGCCAGATACCTCAGAGACATGCCCCACCCACCGGAGGAGAGCATGAAGGTGGTGACCACACAGCCTTGGGGCCAGATCCAGCCCGAGCAGCCTGGCTGTGTGCAGAGTGGCCGCAGCCCAAATCCTCAAGGCCCTGGCTTCCCAGGTTGGTGAGTACACCCCAAGTCAGGCCTCTCACTCTGAAATTTATTTATTTAATCCTCACCTGAGGATATTTTTCCATTGCTTTTTAGAGAGAGTAGAAGGGAGGAATGGAGGGGGAAGGAGAGAGAGAAACATCTTGTGAGAGAAAAATTGGTTGCCTCCCACACGTGCCCTGGCAGGGGCTGGGGATCAAACCTGCAACCAGATACGTGCCCTTGACTGGGACTCGAACCGATGACCCTTTGGTGCACGGGCCAACACTCTAACCACTGAGCACACCGGCCATGGCAGGCCTTCCCTCTGAAAGGCCCATTCTGCCCTTGCCTCGCTGGCCACCACAGAGGGCTTCCAGGAGCAGGTGTCAGCTGGCCCTCATGCCTCCTGGTTAGTCCCAGGCTGGGGCCATGCCTGAGTGTGGCAGCAGGTCCTGAACCCTGAGAACTCCCAGGTGTGGAGCAGGGCCCTGGGCTCCTGAGGAAGGACCATGGGCCAGCTCTGCCGCCCAGAGGAGTCTGGGGGCCTCACTGCTGGGGCCGTGGGTGATGGCACTGGGACAGGCCCACATGGCTCTGGGGGGACAGGGTTACTGTGCAGGGGCCTAGGTCAGCAAAGGTCCTAAACAGAGCTAAAGCCTTCGGTCAGGAGGCCCAGAGAGGAGCCCCTACAGATCCCCCTGCCTGGCAGGATGCCACTGGGCAGGGCGGGGCAGCTGGTTGGTCCACAGTCTTCAGGGGGCTTAGGTGGAGCCCCTGGGGTTAGGAGAGGGGGCACCCTGATCCAGGTTGTGTGGGAGCCCTGGGACTGGCACAGGAAGTGGGGGGAGAGGGAGAGAAAGTTGGAGGGGGTGGAGGAAGGGAGGAAGAAGGGAGAGAGGCTGCAGCATTTCCCTCCCTGCCCCCAGGACAAACAGCCTGCTGAAGCTCCCACCATCCTCCCACCTTCTCGGGCGCCAGCCATGGTGCCTGTGGCCGATGGCCCTGGGAACAACTCTAACAGCTGCAGCACAGACAGGGGCACCCTGTCGCAGGCGGCGACCATCGCCTCCATCTGCCTCATCCTGGTGCTGGGCCTGCTGCTCAACAGCCTGGCGCTCTGGGTGTTCTGCTGTCGCATGCGCAGGTGGACGGAGACCCGCATCTACATGGTCAACCTGGTGGTGGCTGACTGCCTGCTGCTGCTGAGCCTGCCGGGAGTCCTGCACACGCTGGGCCAGGGGGTGGGGGCCCAGGAGGGCCCCCTGTGCAGGGTCCTGCAGAGCTTCTATTATGTCAACACCTACATGAGCATGTGGCTCCTCACAGCCATCGCCACCGACCGCTATGCCGCCCTGCACTTTCCCCTGCGGGCCCGGGCTTGGCGTGGCCCTCGCCAGCCTGCCCTCACCTGCGCAGCCCTCTGGCTGGGCCCAGGAGGGCCCCCTGTGCAGGGTCCTGCAGAGCTTCTATTATGTCAACACCTACATGAGCATGTGGCTCCTCACAGCCATCGCCACCGACCGCTATGCCGCCCTGCACTTTCCCCTGCGGGCCCGGGCTTGGCGTGGCCCCCGCCAGGCTGCCCTCACCTGCGCAGCCCTCTGGCTGCTGGTCATCGGGGCTGTGGCCCTGCCCGTCGCCTGGCTGCGTCCAGGGGAGAGCTTCTGCTTTGGGCGGGGTCACACACGGGGCCCCAAGGCTCTCATCTTCTCCCTGCTCCTCTTCTTCCTCCCGCTGCTCATCCTGAGCTTCTGCTCTAGCCAGGTGCTCCGGCGCCTCCACCGTGAGTGGACTCGGGCGCAGCCCCCGGCCACCACCCCCATCCTCAAGGCCCTCTGCGTGGTGATGGCCAACCTGGCCACCTTTGTGCTCTGCTTCCTCCCACTGCACGTGGCCTTGCTGGCCAAGCTCGTGGCCCAGTGGATGAATGCAGCCTGCCCCACCATCCAGAGGGTGGCCACCTTTGTGCAGGTGGCCTCCCGAATTGCCAACGCCAACTGCTGCCTGGACGCTGTCTGCTACTATTTCGTGGCCGCAGAGTTCCAGGAGGAGGTGGGGGCCGTCCTCGCCAGGCCCTGGCCTTTCTGGGGAAGGATGCCGGGTGCTCCTGCCTGTGACCATCCCGACCTGGGCGCCCAGGGGGAGGCAGCGGAGGAGAGGGGCACAGGAGTGGGCCCCGCACAGCCCTGAAGCAGGAGGCGGGAGGCGTCCCGGGCCCCCGCGGAGCCACTCTCTTCCTGTTGCCACAGTGTCTGCAAGAAACAGCCTCCCTGAGTGCAGCCTGACTTGGGTGCTGGCTCAGAATGATGGGTCCCGGAGTCAGGGCTTTCCCTCTGCAAATAGAATTTAACCAAAAAATCAAAGGACTGCCACCACACGGATCTTTTCCCTCAAAGCCCAGCTTCTCGGGTGCTCTCTCCCTTGCCCAGCCCTCAAGCTCCGTGGTGCAGTGACCCCGTTTCGCCAGGTTGAACTCCGACCTCCACCCTCCACTCTCTGAGCTCTGGACGACCTGGAGAGGGTGTTACAGAGAACCAAGACATTATTTCTTCTGTCACCTCCAGATCATGATAAGACACCAAGTCTACTGAAGTTCAGGGTCTCCCAAAGCCTCCAACCATTGCAACATAACCCGACGAGGTCCCAGGGCCGCAGGGCAGCCATGTCTCCACTCGGGGTCCCATTTAAAGAGACACAGCCGTCAAAGGAGTTTAAAGAAATTCTTTTTAAAAAACGGTTTAACTTGGATTCTTGAAGAGCGTCAAAGAGATCGCCTTCCTTCCCTTTGGGGGTGCCGCTCAGGCCCCTTTTCCTCCTCACCCCACCTCCTCAGCTCCACCCAGAGTGTCCCCTCTGCTCGGCACCTCTCAGTCCCTCCGTCAGCGGGCTCAGGCCTGATGCCTGAAACTTCAGAAGCTGCAGTGTGTGAAGTTCCTCCCACCGGGTCCTGAAAGAGGACCCTCCGGCGACTCCAGGAAGAGGAGGGTCCTTGGAGGAGAGCCCTGAGCAGCAAGCAACCAGCCCCCCCTCACCTGTCCAGCTACGCTCAGGGTAGCGGTGAACACGGTCCTGGCTCTGGGAGGCGGTCGTCCCCCACGAGGCCGCTGAGTGTGGCCCAGTGGCCCTCCGCAGCCGGAGCCCAGGCCTGACTCTGGGAAGATCCTCCTGGCTGCTCCATGGAGACCTCCCTCACGAAGGCCCGGGGAGAGCCAGGGGCCTTGGGCTCCGGCTGTTGGCAAACTTGTGGGAGGAGCAGGGCTCAGCTCCTGTGTCCTCACCTTGCCTCAGCACCCTGGTAGGAGCAGCCCGAGTCACCTTCCAGGACTGATCCTTTTGGGGAATCGGGTGCCAGAGGCCCAGTCCCCCCCAGCCTGGGGGAATTGTGGGGCACGACAGGCTGCTGACTGAGGGCAGCCAACCAGACCCTTGCCGAGGAGGGGCCACCACCCTTGACAGGGAACTGATTTCACAGTCTCTGTGCCTCAAGCCCTGGAGCAAAAGCCTGGGTCGCTGTCCCGGGTGCTGCTCATGTTGCTCCCAGGCCTGCGTCCAGCACCTGGCAGAGAAGGGGGTGGAGCGCTGGGTGGAGGAGCTGGGCCAGGTTGACTGGGGTGGAGGGGTGGGGGGAGCCTGCTTCAACCCCCCTCAGCTCCGGGCCCCACCGCCGTCTTCTCTCCTTTCCTCGGCAGAGTGGGTCTGGGTGGGGGCGGGGGTAGAAACGTGACACGTCCCCCTCCAGTGCTGTATGCTCTGTGGGGCCGAGGTCCACGGATCCAACCCTTTCTCTCACCAAAGAGGATTCTGGGTCACAAAAAAGCAGGGAGTGCCCACGCAGCTGTGTCCAGCTGCGATTAAAGTTTTACATAATTAACAAAGGGAAAATGAATCTTCATTGTGACCCAAACCAACTTCATAAAAGTAACACGCTCAACGGAAACATGGCCAAAGTGTGAACAGGCAATGCAAGGTGTGGAGACCCAGGGGTGTAGGCCCCTGGCACCCCAGCCTCCCTCCCGGGCAGGGTGGCCCTCCAATTCCAACAGCCGGCAGACAGGGTCTGGGATGGTCTTAGGCCATTCCCACTGATAGAACATGACAGGCCAGGGGGCTTAGAAGCAACAGGCGTTTATTTTTTACAGTCGGGCACCGGGGAGCCGGCATGGGAAGGATGCCAGCATGGCCGGGTTCTGGTGGGAGCCGCTTCCTGGTTCACAGCTGCCGGCTCACTGTGACCTCATGCAGCAGAAGGGATGAGGAAGTTCTGTGGGGTCCCTGTGCAAGGGCACTGAACCCATTCATGAGAACTTGTACTCCACAGCTGCCCACCCCCCACCTGAGCCTGCCGTGGCATTGCTGGCCTCTGCGCGGAGCCCGGGTGCTGGGCCAGCAGACACCGAGTCTGCTCACAGAATAGCCCTCCAGGGGCCCAGGGGCGTCCTCGAGCCGGCTCCCTTAGTGCATGTTCAATGCCGCCCTCACCAGCTGTCTTCTCTCAGCCCGTCTGCGTCCTGGGGACCCTCAGATCCAGGGTCAGCCTCACGTAGGTGCGGCTCCAGACATGACTACACTGAATGCCTGTCCAGGTAACTAGAGCCAATGCCCATGATTCGAAGTCTGGAGATTACAGGTTCCCGGAGGACAAGAAGCTGCCCTCTCCCTGGCCTGACTCCTGGAGCCAGACCCATGGCATCCTTTGCAGGTCCCGGCCAGGACTCCTGGGGGTGACTCCTGGGCCAGGGATGATGAGGGGCCGAGGTGGGCACTCCCACCAAGCACCCCTTTTCAGTCACAGCATTTTGGGGCAGTCGGACAGACATGAGCAGAGCCAGGCCACCAAGGCAGAAAGCCCCAGGTGCCCAGCAAGGGACAAAACTGGGAAAACACGAACCTCGTCCCCAGGTTCTGCCCTCCCCCAGCATATCGCTGTCATGCGGTTTACACCCATGACCTTTCATATCGCTGTCATGTGGTTTATTCCCTGACCCTTTCCTCCCTAGAGATAACATCTAGGCCTCAGCTGTATTTCAGCTCCAGGCCCAGAAAGGCAGCAAAACCAGACAAGCTACACCTTGGCTGCCTCAGGACCAGCTGCATTGACTGATGACCCCCTTCCCGGGTGCTGATGGGTCAGTGGAGACCATGACCCTGTAAGGACACACCTGGGAAGCTGATGAATATTCTATTGAGACCCTCCCCTGAGACCTCCCCTAAGATTCCCACCTGCAAGAGAGATGACTACCCTCTGTGCCAAGGGGAGCACACCGGTGCCTCTCCCTTCCCCCTTCTTCCCTCTAAGGCAGTGGTCGCCATTGGTGGTCCATGAGGTCCGAAAGGTTGGCGACCGCTGCTCTAAGGGACCCCAGGAGACCAGGGGAGCAATGGGCATCGGCAGCTCATCCCAGTCTTACCCCCAAACCTGTCTCCAAGGCCCCCTTTTCTCTGACTCCTAGGGAGGCAAAGCAGCCCAGCCTCGGCTCCTGTGGCTTTTTCCATGCTCAGCTCGTCCCTGTTGCACTGCCCCAGGTTTCATAAACACCCCATCTGAGTGTGCTTTCGCTGCTGCCAGTAAACGCTTGCTTTGCTGCACGGTGTCTCTCGACTGAAATCTTCCTTCAAGACAAGAACCAGTCTCGTCATCTTGCTGGTAACAGAAGAACGCACTCTGCCTGCTGCTTTCGATCAGAGTGGCCCTGAGAAACAGCCCCCGCACTTGCCTGGAGGCCCCTGGAGTCCCCCTGTCTGTGACGCGGAGGCCTTGGTCCCCGTCTGTGACATGGAGGTCAGTTCAAGAGGCTGATGGTTGCCCCAAATGGTCACTAATTTCCCTGTCAAGTGCTGTGGCGGCTCTACCTCAGACTCAGGAGGTTTTGCCCGCCTGGGAGAGCCCCAGCAGCAGCCTGTCTCAGTGTTGGCTTTGGGGCCTGGAAATGAGGAAGGATGTGATAAATAGCCGCCATCTGTGACATCCAGTGGCGATGGCTCTGACGAAACAGTCACTGTGTCGAGGCTGCGGCCAAAGATCCTCAGGGAGGTGCTGGCAGCCGGCGCCGGGTGAGTTACTAGCTGCGTCGGGTGGGGCCACATCTTAGGAAAACGTTGCGCAAACAGCAGCCTCTCTGTGGGCTCCAGGCCTGTGGGAGATGACTTAGGGCGTTTGCTCCGATCAGACTCTGTTGGATGGTGGGGAAGGTGGGTGGGATGAGAGCTTGCCTTTCGCTGGACAAGACTTGGTCATTCATCCACGTGGGCCGGCGGAGGACGCTGGGTCGGTCACAGTCTCCTGCTTGCATCACAGACACAGAGACCTCTCCTCCAAGGCCGACTTTCTGGGGACCCCGGCAGCAGGGCAGTGGAGTCAGAGTGCTCCTCCAGGCTGCGGGCACCCGGGAGCAGGTGGGGACACATCTGTGAGGTGAGAGCCGCCCTCAGTCGCCCGCAGCACAGTCGTTCTCACAAACAAAACGCCCTCGGTCCCGTGTAGCGGGCTTTTCTGTGGGAAGCCAGAGTCCACGTTTCGGGTCTCCTCCTCCCTGGTCAGCTCAGCACCGTGGCCTGGGGACAGCCAGCTGTGTAAAGCAGCGGTGAGGCTGTGCTCCAACAAACCTTCATTTACAAGAGACGGCAGGCTGACCCTCGCCTGCACCTCCAGACCCGGCGGGCGCTGTGCTGGGGCATCGCCGCTAATCTGTGTCGTCTCCTGGGCTGGTCTCCTGACAGCAGCATCGATGACAGTGCATCCCAAACTCTTTTTTAAAACGGAAACGTATTGAGGTAACATTGGTGAATAACATACATTTCAGGTGCTCGAGACAATTCCACCTCCCTGCATTCCACCTCCCAGCGCCCCCCACCTGAAGTCTAGTCTGTCTCCCTGTGTTTGGCCCTGTGACCCTCGCTTTAATGCAGTGCAGGGCCTGCTTTAGGCGCTGAGAGGAGGCTGAGTTCCCCATTAGCCCAGGACACTCAGCCAGGGGATTTAGGATGACTCCAGCTCAGAGACTGCACCGCGGGGCACAGATGTGAAGTTCAAGCCCCGTTTCTGTCCCGGGGCTGCTCCTGGGGCCTGAGGGCAGTGGGTCTCCTGGTGGAGGTTTGAGCCCCTCCTGTCTCCGAGCAAGCTGACTGGCGTGGCACGGAGCCCACCACAGATTTGCTCTCCTGTGAGCCAGTATGTGGCCTGAGCTAGAAGCATCTCGGTGGAGTGATTTGGTTCCCTTACTAGAGTCAAGTCCAAGTTTCTGAGACGGAAGGTTGGATGAAAATAGGAGGGAACCCGGGGAAGGAAATCTACCTTTGGAAGTGTTTAAAGGAACAGCGATTACGTGTTTGTCAGTAGGTCCCCGGGACCATCACAGCAGGGTTAGTAATGAGAAAGACGGGGCTCTTGGGCCTGCCATCTGAGGGGAGCCCCACCCGGAGCGGGAAGGGGTTGATGGGGTGAATTAAGCCTGTGGCCTCAGTGCTTTCTGGGTTGTGGACCCCAAAATATTAGTTACTCCACGTGGGGAGGAGCTGATCAATAAGCCTTTGCCATTCCCCGTGTCCTTGCTGGGACGACGAGGCAGGCAGGGGGTTCAGATTGGAGAACCTGGGATAGGGACGCATCACGAGGCTTCCAGCAGAGGCCTC